AATATAGGCGGCCGCGCACCGCGGCTGCACCAAGCCCTAACGCGTACTTTTCTCTTCTCGCCCGTCGCTTTCGGACGGCTACTACTACTATACAACGAGGGACGCGACTCTCGCCGGCGCGCCGCGGCATTCCTCTCCCGCGGCTCTCTTTCCACGCCGCGCCGTACCGCGCGAAACGATCGTTAAATCCGTTCTTCGTTCGTGGCCGAGAACTTGGCGATGATGATGCCGAGGCCTGTGCGGTGTGTGCGCGACGTTTTGTTTCCTTTTCTCTCTCTCTCTCTCTCTGTCTTTTTCTCTTCTTTTTTTGCCGAAAAGCGAGATCACGCGCCCTGCGAAATTCGCAATGCGAATTCGGCGGCGTAAATGTGACGGCCGGCGGACTCGCTCGGCGATCGATCGCGGGCGATCCGCGACTTTCCTTTCTTCCTCACCGAAATCGCGAAATCTACTCGCGCGCTGAAAGCGCGCGTGGAAATCTGCGCGCTCGCACAAGCGAGATCTCGTAACTTTCGACTTCTGGCGCTCCTCAAGGCGAGTCGTACCGCCGCTTCGCGTCTCGTTTCATCCCGTTCGACGCATCTCGCGGCGCGATTGTTGCGACAGACAACCTCCTCGCGGCCCAAGCAAGGATTGTCTCTCGCGCCTACGCGCGTTAGACACGTGTCGAGCACCGTTAACGGTGATTGACGTGACGCCAGTGTAACAATGATACAGTCATATTCTTTATCTGTAGATTCAGGTTAATCTATTTCAGGTTAATCTATTATTAATTAATCTATTTCCCCAGACTTCTCTAGTTGCGGGTTAATTTATTTGATCGAAGAAGGGGGCACCCATGGGGGAGACGAGCGTTGTACTGCACGAGTTTGACTGAAAACCGAAATGTTAGGGCATGCATGACCCGTCAGGATACAGTCGAGGTATCCTGATAAAAATTTCATACATTTTTTGAGCAATTATTAAACAGTTGTATTAACTTCTGTCTAATAATTGAAGAGTAAAACTACTTGGAATCCCAATGAAGATGTAATGCTTTTCCTGCAATTACCGCGCACAAAAGGTACGGAAAATCTGAACTCATTTACTAAACGAAAACAAAATAATAAGTGGACTAGAAAACTATTCAATTGATATATATATATATATATATATATATATATATTTAAATAAGCAAATGTCTACGTAAACTGTATATATTGTTACTAGGAAAACTGCTTCAGCCACCGAAAAAAACCATATCTGGTTTTGGTCCATTTCCTACGCAGTGTTGTTACAACTAATGAGAACGCAATAATACTAAGCAGTAACTGGGTGGGTGTCTAGGAGAATCGCATACATTTCTACCAAAGTAGATGAAGCGGTCGAGGCAGAGCGAGACGCGATCGGGCCCCTCGCGCTATCCCACAGCTCCTCGGTTCATTCGGTTCGAGTGGTTATCTTAGCGCGTTACAGCAGACGATAACTTGTAATCGGGTCAGTACAACGATGCATTGTAAAGTACCATCGACTCTCGCTTATGAAACCCCGCGCCTTCCTCGGCTTCGCGAGAGAGCGAAGGGCGAGCGCACCGAGCTCGGACATCGTCGACGTTCCGAATCTTTCTTTTACGAAGCTTATGTAAGAGCGTGGTCGTGTGCCGCTCCCCCGTTAATATTCGTGGCAATCAAAGACAATAGCAACCCGTTCACGGGAAATCCTCGGAGACGCGTGCTCTCTCTCTCTCTCTCCGTCTGTCTGCCTTCCTCTTTCTCTTGCTTATTTTAACCTGGGAATAGTCACCTAATTTTTTTTACTAAACCATTGCAAACATTTGACGTACTTATTCCGTTTCTTAAATATACTTTTCGTTTCTTTTTATTTTTCCTTAAAGTAACGAGTAAATCTATACTTATAATATCACTGAATAATAATAAATCATAAAGCAACCGCTAATATTTTGTTAATAACACCGGCTTTTAATCGAAGTCTGAACGACCCCGGGTGACTATTCCCGGATAAATACATTGTACACGTAACTTTCATAAAAGATACTTCAGGGGACTTGTTTACCAGACTACTACTAAATAAATGTCACTTCATCATCATCATCATCATCTCCTCCAAACAAAATCAGAGAGAAAAACGGAGGATGCGTCCCGATGAAATATCGTTCTCTCGACGATTTGATTCGTCCTCAAGTTTCCTTTTGCATTTATTTTCGCGCGCGTGTTGCAAAGCAACTCGCTGCCGAGCGCGCCTCTCTCTCGCGAGAGAGATCAACGTTGTTATCTGCGTTACCGTAAATCGCGTCGTCGCGACGGGGACACGCGAGAGAGCTCGTCCACTTGGCCGCTCATGGTTCACAGGGGCTTATCGCTCTGCTCGACGCGCCAGAACGCGGGTGCTTCGGCATGCGATCGGCGTCCACGTCGGCCGCGTTATACCTACCTGCGATCGCGTATACACGAGTACGTGCTCCTCGCTGCGCGAGAAACGCGCGCTCGCGAGCCGGCCCCCCTTAGCACGCGACTAATCCGCAGACGTGCCGAACGCGCTCTCTCGCTTGCGCACCGGCCGCTTTGTTTTCGCGGGCGCGAGCCTCGGGCGCGCGCCGCGTCGCGGGAGAGCACGTGGCTGCGAGGCCGCGGGCATAGTCAGTGAAAATCATCGTGCGCGGACATTGGGTGGCGGGAAACGTGCGTGATAGCGCGCGCGGCAACGCGCGCGCGGAGGGAGGCCCTAATCAAGCTGGCGCGTGAACCTAACCCCACACGCGAGAAGGGTTGGGAGCGGGAGATGGAGGTGGTGGAGGAGACGACGACGGCAGAGTACACGGGGGAGGGAACGGAGGAGGAGACGAAGAAGGCGGCGGTGTGCTGCTCCGTCGACGATCGGCGCGGCAGCCGGGGACAGAGACGGAAAGAAAAGAGAAAGAGAGAGAGAGAGAGAGAGAGTAAGAAAGGAAGAGCGAGCGAGCGAGAGAGAGAGAGAGAGGGAGAGAGAGCATGCCGGAGACGGTTATCGCGGAAGTTCGGCAATTATAGGTGCCGAGTCGTCCTCTTTTTTTTCCTCCTTTCCTTCCTCTTTTTTTTTTTTTCGACGAGTGATATTGATTTGGGAGAGGCAGTTCGTATTCGCGGCACGAGCATACCTTGTGACTCGGCAGAGAGGCGATGCCGCCGCCAGCGCGATGCATCACGGCGCAGCGCGCATTGAGGGGTGTACGTCGCTGGCCGGGAGTGAGAGAGGACCGCGTGGTGGGTAGGGGCGAGGGACGCGGCGGAGGACGGCGGGAGGAACGCGCGACGACAGGGAGGGGGAGGAAAGGCGATCGGAGGTGCTTCCCCACTCCGGTCGTTCCCCTACGCCGAAAGGCAGCCCCTCCACGTGGACCGTCGGCCCCCGTCGGCGCGGAATCAAACCCCTTCCATCGGTTCAACGAACATAACTTCCTCGCTTCGACTCCTCTCGACCCTACCCTTCCCGCCGTCCTCGCTCCTCGCCGATGCTCCACCACCACCGCCGCCGCCACCACCACCATCACCACCACCACTCACTACCTCCACCTCCAGCATGGCTCACCACCACCGACTACGCGCGCCAGGGGCGAAAGCCGCGACTCGATCGCCCTTTGTGATTTCTCCGCCGATTTTGTACGCGACATGCAATTCCTATGCCCGTTTTTACCGTCACGGTTTTCACCTAATCGACGATTAATTCGACGGAACCGACGGATCGCACTGATCGGTTCGGCTAATTGAAACGTATGAGATCGGTCAGTTCCCTTGAATTAATCGTCGATTAAATTTGAGTCACGGTGGTGGAAACGGGCGTTAGTCAATGGAAGCTGCGGTGATTTCTGGGATACACGATCGACGACGAATTCGATGCTTGGGAACTGCGACTTGACCGACTCGTAGAGCGAACGTTGTGCTCGCGATGACGATGAGTGAAGGTCGAATCGCGAGGTGCGGCCGAGCGATTTTTTCTTAGGAAATGTGGACCATCGTGAAGTCGGTCGCTAGTGCTTGATCATGAGCACTCCTGAATGAATCTCGCACGAGGCCTCCGACTATGAGTCAAGTTCGCAGTCTCCGCGTCCTTGACGTCTCAAGTTTTGCCGGTCGCGTTACTCCAACTTGCCGCGCCGCGACGACGCGTCGCAATCGGTCCGCTCCAGAGAGAGAGAGAGAGAGAAGTGCACTTTATCAGACGCTCTGGGACAAGTTCCCTCAAACTCTGAACATACTTCAACTTGAACAAACTTCCTTTCTTAGAAACATAGAAAGTCAAGTGTGCATAATTAAAATATACAAGTACAAAGAGCTGACAAGTAAAAGAAAATTGTAAAATATTTCGAGTAAAGAGGGAGGGACGACTCTCGCGTCGATTCTTATCGCTCGCCGCTAACGGCAAGACACGTCGCGACACGTCGCACTGAGAACCGATTGTTTTCGCTTCTCCGCTTCCTCGTCCGCGGAATCATCGTCTCGATGAGAGGACTCGCTGGACAGAGGAGTGGGAGGGGAAGGAGCAACGGGGGTGCACGGGCTCGTTCGGCCGGCCCTGCGCCGTCGTTGCCGTCGCCGCCGCCGCTCGTTCCACGGCACCTTCTCCGCTCGTCCTCTCCCGACGCTCCAACCATCCCAAACCCGAACCAGTCCAGAAATCCCCACTCTGGTCGCGCGGTACCGCGGCGACGGAAGTGTGGCAACGCTGCAGCGCTCGCCAGTGTCTCGGTCTTGGCGAGTTACTCGGGGGGGCTCAGGCCGAGTCTACCGAGATTGTGTCTACCGGCGCGGGTAACCCGAAAGCGAGCGTGGCGAGGATTAAAGTCGCGGGCCGCTTTCCGGCATGCGAGACCGTCTCGCTGCTGCTTGAAGGCCGTACGGGAACGCACGAGGGACGGCGCGCGAACGATAAGAAAAGTTTCACGGCCGCGGACCTAGAGGAGGAGGCCGACGTGGAGGAGGTGGAGGTGGAGGAGGAGGAACAAGAGCAGCAGGAGGAAGAAGAGGAAGACGAAGAAGAGGAAGAAGAGAAGAAGAAGAAGCAGCGGGAGGAGGAGAAGGCGGAGGACGCATCGTCGCCGCGCGGTAGACGTAGGAAGTGGAGGAAGAAGAAGCCGACGAGACGGGCGCCGCGCGCTCGCACGTTGCCGTGCCGCGCTCACTATATCTACTATACACCACACGCGCGCCGTGTCCGCGTACGCGCGCGTGAAATCCACACGTACGATATATTTATATGCATACACGGTGACCCGCGCGCGGAGATAATACAGTGTAAATGGCGCTCTCGGCGCAGAACCAGTCGACGTCGTACGTGAACTTGTATTACTCGATCGTCCAGCGCGCGGCGACGCGCTACTTTAAGGAATATTACAACTCCGGTGAGTACCAGCAGCCGCATACCCGCGCGCTCGCCGCATCCCCGAGAGCATCCGCGACGACGACGACGATCGTGGATGCGCGCCGGATTTGCCGGCGAGCGCGCTTCGCTTTCGTATCGCCTAATCGCGCACCCCTTTGCCCCCGTTGTCCCTTGTCTCGCCCTCCCGCGAACTTTATATCCCCCGTGCGACAGGCGCCGGCGGTAACCAGCCACCTGTGCGCTCGCGTTTTGCCAAAACGGCGGCGTCATCGTGCGCGCCGCGTGTGTGCCGCCGGGTACGCGCGCGGTTTCGAATTTTCCCGCTCTCCTCCCCCCCCCCTCCCCTTTCCCCGGCGCTCTCACGCCGCTCCTCCGGACTCTCCGACGCCGAGGAATCGGGAAACCGGTACGATCTCCGCGTGCCGAGGATAACGCGCGATAACGCACGCCTCCTCCTCATTCCTGACAATTGGCGAACACGTGACACAGCCACGCTGTGTCCGTGCGGCGCGCGGAGAATCGAATCGCCCGTCGAAATTATACCGCTTCCGATCCCTGCTCTCTCTCTCGCATTCTTTCTATCTATCCCTTTCCCTCTTTTTTCCACTCTCCGTCTGATCCCGCGTCCCCTCCTCCTGGCCCCCAACGCGTGTGCACGTATGCATACCGAGACGCATCGGGCGGACTATAACGCGTCGGCGACTACTGGCAGAACTGTGCTCTTCCGACTGCGATTAACAACGCGCCGCTGGCTAGACACGTGTCCCGTACGAAACTCGCGTGTGTCTGCGGTCGAGCCCGACGAGGCTTGATTGGCGAGGACAGTGTTTAACGTTGGGCGAGGGAAAGAGAGAGAGAGAGAGAGAGAGACGGTGGATTGAAGAGGCGTGGAGGTTGAGCGGGGTATCAAGGGTAAACGGAGAACGTTGGCTGGCCGTCGGTCACCGTGCGCGGTGCACCTATACGAAACTCTTCGCGAAAGACCGAGAGAGAGAGAGAGATAGACAGAGGGAGGGAGGGAGACAGAAGAGTCGCGTGTCCGCGCGGTTGCACTAGGCGAAAACAGCGAGAGTAGCGTGCGAGGGGGGAGAGACGCGCAAGAGAGAGAAAGAGAGGAGAAGTATATTATATATTTACCAGAGATCCCCCTTAGCGCGGAGAACGCAAAATAACACAGCAAAAGCATGAATTAGACACAACGATAGGCGAGGACGCGGGTAAGAAACCAGTCGCCTGTGATTCTCCCGAGCTATTGCGGTGCCTACGCTCGCGATCTCGCGCTCGCGCGAGAGAGCGAGTCGAACGGAAGAAAAATCGGGAAACTAATTCAAGATAAGCGCGAGACTAGTAATTAAGTAGTTCCAGCCGCTACGACAGTAATCGCCGTGCTTATAGGAGCTAATCGTAAAATTGGATCTCTCGGGACGATTAAATCTCTCCATTATGGAGCGCGCGTATAAGAGAAGAAGAATTTATTAATGCAATACTGTCGTGGACCAGGAGGAGTTTATTACACACACACGTTGACGAATAGCCCCGCGCGTGTGATCCGAATATGAGACGGAGTGCTGCTGGAAATGTGACTTATTGTTTAGGTATACGCGATCGGAGTGCTCGTACGGTTTGTTCATTCTTCTCGAAATGTGTCGACATAGGAGACAGCGTCTCTCGTGTATCGCTTTCTTTCTGTCTCTCTTTCTCGAACGAGGCGGCGAGGAGTGCGGAGAGAGAGGGGCGAGAAAGAGAGAGAGAGAGAGAGAGTTGCGTGACGATTTTCGCAAAACATAATCGCGTAACATATCTGCTGCGTCGTTTGGGTCATCTAATTGGTCCTCGAATTATCGAAAGCGCCAAATGACGAAACGCGCGGGAGCGATAAGCATTTTCGGATCTCCCTGCTCTCGTGCGTCGGTTACGCACTCTCTGATCTCGCGCGCGCGCGAGAACGTGGACGCGCCTTTGCATTTTCTGCACTGGGATTATAATTCCGCGGGGAAATGTAATAATTCCGCGATGAAGCAACACCCGAACTTCCCGCACTTTTCCACATCCACCGGCCGAGCGGATCGGCTTCGCCTCAGCGAGAATTCGATACGAATTGCCGTCCGTTCCCCTCGACTGTTTCGCATTCAACTCCGAATATCTCGGGGACTAACTCCCGGATGAAACTTCTTTTAAAGAAGTTCCGCCGCTTAAGAGATCGAACGAACGAAAACGTTTTATTACCTATTTTCGAGATACTCCCCCACCGACCGGGGGGAAAGGGGGGACTCCCAGTCTCGCCTCTTACGCAGAAGAATGTTTCGCGCGCGCGTCTCGTTTCGATCTCTTTTTATACCCTCTCTCTCTCTCTCTCTTTGCTAAAATCACAAGAACGTCTGAGAGAAACGCGAGACTCCCTCCAATCCCGTTGAAAAACGCGGAACGATCTGCGCTCCGTCCGGCTCCTGCAGGGAAGAATCGTAGCAATGATTCGAACGCGCTCACGGAAGAATGCTAATCGCGCGAGTCGAGATTTTCCCCGACGTCGAATCCCGACAGCGGCGTTCCTTCGAATCGGTCACTCGTCACGCCGCGCGCCGAGGCTCGCAGCCGACGCACCGGCCCGATCGAGGCTCGCTGGTCAAGGTGAGCGTCGTCGGCCGAGGACTCTCGTGATCGTGCTCTTTGTGACCGAGAAACACAACGCCGGCGATCGCGTCCCGCCGCAGCCTCGACTCTAGCCGAGGGCGAATGACGACGGCGGAGGAAAGTCGATGATGACGGGGACCGCGCGCGCTCTCTCGCAGCCGATTCCTGCCCGACGCAATCGCGACGGAATCCGCTCCTCTGCGATCGTCGATTCGCCGTTTTTACGAGTCGAAATTCGTGTTTTACAGCGCCGCGTCTGTGCGAACTGTCGCTCCCGATGCTGGAGATATTTCAGTTGTTCCTCCTCCTCCGCGATCTTTTCCTCTTCCTCTTCTCTCCTTTTTACGAGCGCGAGAAGGGCCAAGAGACACGCGAAACTCCCCAATTCCGTCCAAATGCTGAGTGATCTCCGTCAAAATCGAATCGGTTCGTCCTTTTAAGGCGGGTGTACACCGAGTGAACGAACAATGGGCGAACAGCGAATGCGTAATATCAATGTATTCGCGTTTAAACGCGCGTGAACTTCCTCCGATGAACCACCTTGCGAGAAAATTCGCCGGAAACGTTCCGTTTCGGGTTTGTTGTGGTGCACACATTTTTCAAATTGTGACAACAAAAATCTGCATTCGCTGTTCGTTCCTCTTTTATTCGCCCAGTTTTAAAAGATTCGAAAATCATCGAGAATCTTTCCGAGTCGATCGGAAAATTCCAGTGAGTGAAAAAAGCCATGGTAAATTCCGGTTTTTATTGTCCCGGAGTTTATTCAGCGAAACAAACTGGCAAAAACTACAGAAAGAAGCCTAATGTGTAGCACTAAACTACATATTTATGCAACTTTATGCGAAAAAGTATTTTTCGCTCCAATTGGTAGATCATATTAATCGCTATGATTTAAAGAAAATCGAAATGTAACGATAAAGTCTCCTTTAATTCAAATTGAAATGTGAAATAATGTTTCAAGCAAAAAATTTAGAGATATAAATATCACCAAATATTTAATTTAATTTATAGTTTAATAAGAAAAACAATCGTAACGCGATTAAAAACTTGTAACCAACGTAGATCTGATTCGCGTTTATGTTTTAACCTTATTACACTTTTGAAGATGCTGTGTTAGTTGTGAATCTTTGCACTTACTAAGCAATATATTTTTGTTTATTGACGTTAGCAACAGAACAGAATACAGGAAGCAAGTTCACGCCTTTGCGTTCCTCTTAATGCATCTTTCAAGTTACTCGTGTTAAGTAACTACTTCATCAGTAAATGATAAATGTACAATAATCACTTTAATACAGCTGCATGGAAAAATTCAAAGGAGGCATGAACATATAATCGCGCGCTTTTCATTTGTTTTACGTGCGGATTCTTGCGCACAGGATCATAGCTAGGACAATAAAGTGCCTCGGGCTGCCTGCGAATTAGAATATCGGTAAAAAAAATGTCCTATTTATTTTATCGTTTTTAATAAAAAAGTTTTTGCTGGTTTTTCCCGGAAAATACCGGTTTTCACCACTGGCATGGACTTATCAAAAAAATTTGAAATTTTGTCAGTCCTGCACAGAGCAAAAAGACTAGTTGAATTAACATGACAATGAACGAACCGAACGCGTTTTCGCCGAAGGAAGGAGAATTTCTGACTGGAAATCAAATTTCGTTTGTAATAACCAAAATTTCCGTTTCCTTCAACCGAAACGTATTTCGGTTCGTTCATCGTCACGTTAATTCAACCAATCTCCTTCCTCCGTGTGGGATTTTTTACGAAAATGGTCGAAAATTTTTTGCGTATACCCGAGTCGAAATTTTGATGCTAACGCTCTTAAGGATAGTTTGCGCCTACTTAGACGGCCTATAGACTAATAAAACCCTACTTTAGCGATATCGATATTGTTTAACTTCTCTCTTGAACCTTTAATTCCACAAATTGAGATTTAACACTACCTCCATCATCTTATTTTAACGCTAAAACAGCGAAAACGGAAATTTAAGACACCATCAGGGTCAAAAAGTAGGGGTTATATTATATTATTAGAATTGATATTGAACCTAATTTACTATCTTAGCTCCTACTATGTCGCAGAATTAAAGGTTCAACATAGAGCCAAAATTTCGACTCGGGTCGTAGTATCGACCGGCTGAGACACTTTCGCCGCGAAACGCAAGGGTACTAAGTCTTTTTATTTCTCCGTTTTAACGGGTACTTGGAAAATGGAGGCACAGTGGCACTCTTTTCATTTCAGCCATTGCGAAAGAACACTCGCCGAGGCTCGTCGAGTCGCGAAGGTTAATCGAGTCCCCGCGAATTCCGTCGTTCGATAAGTCGCACTCGTAAACACACCCTGTCCGAAAGGCGCAGTCGTGTCTCTCCCGGGGAGAGAGACGCGACGAGGC